CAGTCCCTCCGCGCTGGGGCCGGCGGCGTCGGCGCGGGCTGGGAAACGCGCTGGCCGCACTGTCGGCCACGTGGGTGCTCGGAACGGCTTAGGTCGACGAGTCGATGCTGCAAAACGTGCTGCACCCCGGGCTGAGTCTTCTCAGGGGCGGTTCAGTGAAGCGACTTTCTGGGGGGCCTGCAGCCAGAGAGGCGCTGCGACGGCGCGGCCGGGCGCCGCCTGGGAGTGGGGTGCGGGAGGGGAACCGGCGGAAGAAGCCGCTCGTTCTTCAAGAGAACAACTTTGTTTCGCACACCGTTGTTCGTTTTTGTGCGGTATTTGACGCCACTTCGCACTAAGGTGCCCGTGCGCCGTGGCAGCGTGCCCACCCCCACTGCCCCAGGAGCTCCCCCGCCCCTCGCCCGCTCGGAGTTCCCGCCCGCCCTCCCCGGTCAGCTTCTCCGTGTCCCTCCTGGAAGTGAGCCCATTTGATAGTCGATCTTTCCCTCCTGACTTGCCTCAGCATCTTTCCTTCCGCTCCGTCCATGTTGCAGCACAGGGCCGAGTGCTACCTTTTTGATGGCTGAGTAGTACTCCCTCGCCGCTACATGCCACATCTTCTCCACCCACTCATCAGTTTGGGGCATGTAGGTGGTTTCCATGTCTTGGCTGTGGCCAACAGCGCTGCTCTGAACGCGGGGGCACAGGTTTCCTTTCGGATTGATGTATTTTGGGTAGATTCCTAGAAGTGGGGTCCCGGAGTCATATGGCATGTCCATTTCTAGTCTTTCGAGGACCCTCCAGCTTTTCATAGTGTGGGACTACATCAATCAGGAAACACATTTCTTTCTTCTTCTTCTTCTTTTTTTTTTTTTAAAGATTTATTTATTTATGCTTATAGATCTGGGGTACAGGGCAGAGGTGTGGTGGGTGAGAGGCTTCACCAGAGACAGAGCGGGGAGCAGAACAGGCAGATCCATGAAGCCCACTGCTGAGGGGAGCAGCGGGCAGGCCAGGAGAGGTCTGCCGCGCCGTGTGGGTCAGCTCCCTGGCCAGGGATTGAATTCATACTGCAGTGGCTTCAGAGAGCTTCATAATGTGGTGCTTTAACCCACTGTGCCATCAGGGAGGGCCCCGAGACACACATTTCTTAACAACGATGGTTTCGATGGATGGTTTTGGGCGTGAAGTCCGGAGAAACCTACAGGACATGATTGCGCGGAGGCAGAAGTGGCTGGACTCGAACTCCCCCTGGGATGGGTGTGGGTCAGGGCTGGGGACAAGCAAACCTTGCCGGATAGTCCTCTGGTGTCCTCACCTCTGCAAGGCGGGGCCCTAGACCCAGTGAGGAGATTTGATCGTTGACCAGTAGTTGAATTTAACCAAGAGGCTGCCTCATGTGAGAGGTGGGAAGACAGCCATGGTGACGACCAGAGCGGTAGCCAAAGGGAAGCACTAGCTTGTACCTGCTGCCAAGGGAGCCCCCACTGGCTGTCAGCCCCCCTCAGCCCCTGTGCTCAGCATGAACCCCTGTGGGACTCTGTGAGGCTCTCCCATTACCCATGCCTTCATTCTAGCGCATGCGACTCTTGAGCACGCCGGCCATCTTTCTCCTGACAGTTCTGACAGGTCAGGCACGGCTGCCCCCACCTTGCTGGCGCAGAAGCTTTCCCAGTGATGCGGGCGTAACGGACGCCCAACACCATGGAAGATAGTTCTACATTCCTGCTGCAGGCTGCGAATTGTCATTTAAAAAAATTATTTATTGATACATACAGAGCTGAGGTACAGGCCAGAGGCTCAGGGGCGGTGAGAGGATTCACCAGAGACAGAGCGGGGAGCAGAACAGGCAGACCTACTGCCGAGGGGAGCAGCGGGGAGACAGGCGAGGTCTCCTGTGTCATGGGGGTCCCTCCCTGGCCGGGGATGGAACTCGGGCTGCAGTGGCTGCGGACAGCTTCACAGCGCTGCGCTTTAACCCCTCGTGCCCCAGGGTGAGCCCTGCGACATAAGTGTCGAGGAAGAATTGCTCTGGTGGTAGCTGGTGGTCGGCCATGTCTGCGATGGAAGGTAAATATCAGGGGGCGTCTGGGACAGGAGCCGGGGACGCTGCTCCTCGGAGACTCCGAAGGGAGCACCTGGGCGGCTCGTCCGCCCTCGCTGTGATGTGGGTCTCTGCAGCTGCTGCTTGTGGCTGCGGGCAGGCCAGCAGCCTGGTGCTTCACGCACGTTCTTTGTGAATGGCCAAGGACCGAGGATGTCAGCGGTAAACGCCCTGTCTGGAGGGAACCGACGTTCGCGCACGAATCCCAGATACAGATGCTGACCAGCCAGTCACTGCCAAGGCCACGGTGCCAGACGCCGTCGCCTGCCGCTTCGGCAGGTGCCAGCAGCTTGGCAGTGGGCAGGTGCAGGCTGTCCAGGAGCGCGGCTGTCTCAGGTGTGCAGAGAACCTTTCCGCTGCGGACACAGCGAACCCCCCTCGAGGTCCGCTCCCATGCTTCAGGGATCATTAAAAGAAAAGCTCGCCCTTCGTTTCTCTGTGCACCCTTCTCTTTTACCCCTGCTCTCTTCCAGAGGATTAGCAGAGCTGAGCAGAGTAGAAACCCTTGCCATGTACCTGGAACAGAACTTACCCTGAACGTCAGATACTCTGGCGACATTCTGGTGACACTGAAGCTCTGTGTTGAGGGCTTGATGTGCAATTTCTGCCTCTTAGAGTCGTGACTCTCCAGTCGCACGGGGAACCTCACCGATACGTTTACCAACGTGCACTGACTAATGCCAATGCTCCTGTTCTTTTTCTTCTTCTGCCCATAACTGGGTGTTTTATTACACGTATTTTCCCACCACTGGACTTATTTTTAACTGTCTTCTATTTACAAAAAATATTGAGTCTACTAAGCTGCCACACAGTCTACTTTTTTCCTTGGTACTTAATGTCTTTTTTCTCCCTTCAACCCTTTCTTCTCCCCTGCGCTCTTATCCCCAGTGCCCTCAGGATGTATATTTATAGCACTGGCTTTTAAACTATTTATATCATCGAATTATCTGCTCTGGAAATGCCCCTATTTGTTATCATTCGGACTTGCTTGACGACCCATAATTCTTTCAAACTTTTGTGATTTTGTTGAAAATGGCTCCATTTCATCCTTTGTTGTGACTGAATAGTTTTCCGTAGTGTGGACAGACCACATCTTCTTGATCCAGTTCTCAGTCGCTGGGCATGTAGGCTGCTTCCACGTGCAAGCTATTGCAAATCATGCTGCCAGGAGCATTGTGGAACACGGATTTTGTGTGGTCGGTTTCAGATTCTTTGGCTAGACGCCCACGAGGGGGTGGCTAGGTCATCTGGTATTTCCATTTTTCGTTTTTTTAAGGTAAACCCAGGTTGCTTTCCACATGACTCCACTGGTCCACAACGTCTTATTCACTCAGTTCTTCTACTTTTCCTTTTATTCTGTTTCCAAAGGACTTTTCTCATTCTATTACTTCCAGAGGATGTTTAAACCACCATAAGAGTATAGAATTTCAAAAGCTTTTAGCAAAAGCTCCATAATAAGCTAGGTCTACATCCACAGAGCATGGTGTTGACATCAAGTAAAGCTAACAAATCAATCCGACTTGCGAATGATGTGCCTGGGAGCCACTGTGCACACGCCGTTAAGTCACGAATGACAAACGATTCTCAAAACTAGGATCACGATTACTCGTATACAGTCAAATCCAGGGTTTCTCCTTTTGCTCATTCTTTATTACTTACTTAAGTAGCTCCCATGCTGTGTTTCAGCACTGACACACTCTCACACACACAC